ACGTGATCACTTTTCTACATTAATGCTTATAGTCCATGCACGATTTCGTTTCGTTAATCGTGCATGGATTATGAGCATTAATGTAGAAAAGTGATCACTTCAGAGTTTGTGAAAATTTCCGAGGGACAGAATCGATGACCGTGGGTGTACATACAGGGAGATCAAAACTTTTACCGGGGTCGCGAAAAACGCCGGGATGGCCGCTCTCATGCTTCTCTCTGGTCATGCAAAAGTCTCTGCTAAGGCCTTTATACTATGCTTGTGAGGTATTATTTTTTTGAATACATGAATAGTATCGTATATGCACTTAGAATATAAAATAACGTATGTAAGGAATACACCGTTTCCCTTCGGGCAGAATGATGTTTTCGAAACTCAGATATGGCTCGTGCGCGCACAACCCGTATCTGAATTTCGAAAACATCATCCTCCCTGTTGAAAGACGGCGTTCCTTCCCACGATGCATAAATAACTATTAATATCTGAGGCTTCTGGCATCAATCAAATAGAAGGATATTTTATCAAATATCATTACATTTATATTTTGAAATTTGGAGTCATGCAATATAATTTTCTATAATGACAGAAACATATATGTAACATCTTTTTTCTTTAATATAATTTATAGTATTTATATATAATTTGCATTGGAATATATAATTTTGTTACAATTTAATTACAAAATTTTGTGTTGATTTCCGTCATAATATATAATATATAATTTACTGATTGTGAATCAATTTTTTTTATATCATACAAAATTTACTTATGTTTATTCGGTGATTTTTTGACATAAATTGTTTTTTCTTACGTATTTATAGTTAAATTAATGAATTAAACAGGCGTTAAATAAATTTTATATGCTGAAGAGTGGAGATCGCTGTATTTCTGCGTTTTATTTTTCCGGCGAGTTTGTTCCTAATCGAATCACAGGTATTCGACAGCATCTAGACAATGAATGTGCAGCATTACTGTCATCAATCATCGTAATCGCAGATTGTGATGTAGGAGGATTGTGTCACGTCAAGGAACCGCCATGGACTCTCATGTGTCTATTGAGATTACCACTCTGACTGAATCTAAGCAGACATAGTTTACACTGATACGGTTTCTCACCGGAGTGTATACGCAGGTGCTTGGTAAGTGTTGAGCTATCGGAGAACGCTTTCTTGCAGAATCGACACCTGGAAAAATGAAAAATATCAAAAAATTAATTTAAGAATAATTGACCTAATTAAGGATAATTATTAACTTATGACTAGTCATAACTTGAAAAGTACTTAATAAAAATGAACTTTATTTTAGTGTTTTCGAAGCTCTCAATACCAGCTATTAAATTCTGGAATCAAAAATAAGATGTTTCATTTTTAAAAAATCGATGTAATTTTGACCTGATCTTAGCGACGCCATTCAAGGTCACAAAATAATATTGCTATCTAATGTGTCCTTTAGTAGTAGTAGTAGATAACCAAGTAGGATTCGTCATATCGAGCAAAATAATAGCGTTGTTCGATTTGTTGACTCGATCCGACTCCGAGTCAAAATAGTCTGTTCTTTTTAACGTTTCTTGTACACTTTTATAGCTAAAAAGAATAGATCATCGACTCGGAGTCGAATCGAGTCAACAAATTGAAAACGCTATAATGCAATTATTGCATGAGTTGTTGTACATTTGCCATACATTTGTTGACATCCATGATGCAAGTAGACATGGTGTGCTCTTGCGCATATTTTTTGCTACAGCCAATAAGAGCTTGGCCTTTTATTCATCTGTTTTTCGGCAGTAATTCAACTTCAATTACTCAATCTTATACTTACTTAATATTAATTTGCCTAACTCTCCTTCTTTTTAGTATATTATTTAATAATAGAAGTAGTGAAGTAAAAATAAAAAAAATCATAAAATTATAGAATTATTATAAAATATTTATTATACGTGAAAGTAATTAGTTGAATTGAGTAAAATTAAGTAGTTGAAGTAAGTTAAATTACCGCCGAAAAATAGACGAATAAAAGGCCAAGCTCTTATTAGTTGTAGCAAAAATATGCGCAAGAGCACACCATGTCTACTTGCATGCTCACAGTTTAATAAACTGCCATAAACTGCAGTTATGACAGTTAAGTCGGAACCTTTGATGTTTATGTTACCTAGAATCCCTACAAGGGAGAGTTGACCATTCACCGTCATTGTTCTCATTGGTCAATCCCATATTCCCTCAAAATGGCGTCACCAATCATATAACATAAAAATTGTATATATAGCACATGATCCACTAGAAACTATAAATGTGTTGTATGATGTGTGTGTATGCGTGTGTACATGAGTCACATTTACAGACGTCATTTTGTGGGACATGGCCAGACTCTCCCTTCTAGGGACTCTA